GGATGTCTTTCGCATTTTCGTGGGATATTGTTTTTCATCCCCTGGGGAGCCCAGCTCCTGCCTGGTACAGCTGTAAATCTTTCCCTTTTCGCATTCATTCACCCTTGGTCTCGTGGATTTGTATTCAGGGCTCGTGAAGGAGGCGGCGTGTTGTGTGGGGTAGGAGGAAATTCTTTACTGTGAGGGTGGTGAGGCATTGGCACAGGTTGCTCGGAGGAGCTGTGGCAGCTCCATCCCTGTCAGTGACCAAGGCCAGGGTGGATGGAGCAACCTGGTCTAGTGGAAGGTGTCCCTGCCCATGGCAGGGGGTTGGAACTAGAGGGTCTTTAAGGTCCCTTCCAACCCCAACTATTCTGTGATTGTATCCTGTGAATTAGGAGTGAGTGTGTTTAGTTTACTTTTTCATCTGGTGGCCTTTAGCCCACACAGGTGATGTAAGATGTAAAATGAAGTCTTTGACTGCTGGATGAGCACAAAGACTTCGTGTCCTGGCAGGAGCTGTCGCTTACAGTTTGTGCTAATTGCCTGTTAGAAGAGACCTTTCCTGTTCTTGTCATCCCTGTGCTTCCACGCCACAGTGCCTTTTTCTCTGGAGTGGGGAACAGCTTTGTGCTCTGGGTAGGCAAAACACTCTCTTATGATTATTGGGTGAGTTTTGGAAATGCTTGATAGCACTCACCTTTCCCTGCATTCAGGTGAACACATATGACATCTCTGGGAGAATGTACAGGGACTTTCCCCCCAGCTGACAGTAAAGAAAAGCAGTTTGGTTTTTTGGTTGTCTGTGTAAATGTCACATTTAGATACTCATCTAAATTTGTATATAGGTACAGAACTGTCACTGCAGTTGTCTCAGGCAGCATTACCATCTGCATGTCGCTAGCTAGGCAGGATGGAAGGGAAATGTATAACATTCTACTATTCTTCTATTTAAAAGATAGTCTAGAAGATGTTCTGTTCATTTGAGAAGCTTTTAATCTGTCTTGTGAAAATGGATTTGTTCTTTGTGTTTTGAGGTTGTTGTTGTGGGTTTTTTATCTGCTCTTAACATTCTTATGAATCTTCAGATGCTTTTTGTCTGACACCTAGTTCATCTTAGCCTTTTCTACCCCATTTTATTTCCCATACTTTGGCCTGTTGTCAGGAAATACTTGAAAACAGGTTGTTTGCACCCTTGCTTTAATTTTATAAGGAGCATATTAGATCTGTAGGCTGTTACTTTCTCATAACAAATGTCTTGGCCACTTGACAGCCCTTAGTTCAGGACTCTGTAATGCACATACGTCACTTTGAGAAGGACTTTCCAAATGCTCTAGGAAGCAAATCTGTTGGGCTTTCTGATGCTGCAGATTCAGACAGAAGAGCAAGAATTGGGCATATTCCTTACTCTGCCATACGGAACAAGAACCCAATGGTGTTCTTCTCTGTTTCCAGCTCAGTTTTGGGGGGCATTTGGAATTGCTGTTGCTAGTTAGACAGATGTCGAGTTCAGTAGCAAGTGAGAAGCACTTTCCATGCCTTGCCAAGTAAGCATACAAGTTAATACTGGATTTTTAGTTTTTTTTAAATGGCATGGGGTCTCCTTTGCATTCCTCATCTATGATGCCATACCCAGACTCTCCCCATTGCTGGACTTTGGCCAGATCCTCAGCGTTGCTGTAATCCCCTGCTGAAAGAGCTCAGTACCAGGTGGCTCGGGCAGTTTGGGGTTTGCCAGATCACTTCTGTTTTCAAAAAGTATCCTATGCTTCATCCCTCTTCTGCCCTTGATCTCGTGTGTGCATGTATATATGTACACATGCAGTGTTTATTTACACCTCCTGTCTTCTTCTTATTTTAGGGTTTCAGATGCATGCCAGGTTCCTGCT